GCCACACTCTTCTTGATGCACCCCAGGATGCGGTTGGCCTTCTTGGCCACAGGGGCACATTGCTGGCTCATGGTCAACTCGCTGTCCACCAGGACTACCAGGCCCTTCTCCGCAGAGCTGCTCTGCAGCAGGTCGACCCCCAATCTGTAGTGGTCCATGGAGTTGTTCCTCCTCAAGTAAAGGACCCTACACTTGCCCTTATTGAACCTCATCCAGTTCCTCTATGCCCAGCTCTCCAGCCTGTCCAGGTCTCACTGAATGGCAGCACAGCCTTGTGGTGTGTCAGCCACTCCTCCCAGAGCTCTCCAGCCTGTCCAGGTCTCGCTGAATGGCAGCACAGCCACTCCGCCCTGTTTTGTGTCATCAGCAAACCTGCTGAGGGTGCACTCTGTCCCTTCATCCAGGTCATGGATGAATATGTTGAACAAGACTGGACCCAGTACCGACCCCTGGGGAACACCACTAGCCACAGGCCACCAGCTGGACTCTGCAGCGCTGATCACAACGCTCTGAGCTCTGTCCTTCAGCCAGTTGTCAATCCACTTCACTGTCCACTCATCTGTCCCACACTTCCTAAGATTACCTATGCGAATGTGATGGAGGCAGTGTCAAAAGCCTTGCTCAAATGGAGGTACACAACATCCACTGCTCTCCCCTCATCTTTCCAGCCAGTCATGCCGTCACAGAAGGCCATCAGGTTGGTCAGGCATGATTTCCCCTTGTTGAATCCATGTTAACTACTCCTGATAACCTTCTTTTCCACCAGTGGTGTAATAATCTGAGAGTAATTCTAATAAAGGATATCATATCTTACTGCAAACCTTAAGTGGAAGTGATGTTTTCCTTGTAATTCCTTGTAATAATAAAGCAGAAGATGCATCTTGTGCAGACGATAGGTGTAGCCATAATGTAAAATCTCTTTGTCTTCCTTTTCTAAGAGGTGGACAAAGCAGACAGAATCAGGCTCTGAGTAATTTTGCCTTTTCCTATCTTCAAAAAATCCATACAGATCAAAGGAAACTTAGTATGGATAGAATGACCCAAGAACAAAAATTATGGAGCTTGCAGCGTGCTTTGTATTGGTTTTGTCATATCTTCTATGCTGAAGAAAAACAGAATTAGCTGGTTTGTTTGCCTGCTGTTTAAAATGACACTCTGACCTGATTGCTTCCAGATTTGGTGGCTGTTCAGGGGACTTTGTGCAATCCAGCAGGTGAAAGCACGGTGCAGAAAGTCACAGAGTTCACACATGGGAGAGTCACTGCAGTCCAGCTGCTATATTTGGGAAACAAATGCTTTTATCACTTCAATGACCCTCACACTTAAACTAGTCAAGTGAAACCACTCCAGACTGAACTACAGAGAGCTCTTGTCTTGGCAAGGGCCAGACTCATGACCGAATCAATTTCTGTCATCTTTCATTTCCAGGGGTCTCTAACTTGAGTCCTCTAAAAATGTAGGCAAAGGTTGTAATTTTTTCAAATACAGTGTACTTTTGGAAAAATAGTAAGTTGAAGAAGTATCTGATAAAGGACCTGCTGTTCTAATAGTTTGTGGGCAGGCAGTGCCGAGAGGTTAAAAATACAGCTTCCACTTGCAATTCAGAACAAAACCACAGCATTTAGAACTGACATTTTTGCACTACCATTGCTGCAACACGTAGATAAACCACTTGGATTTTCACATAAAGGTGTAACCGTCCCAAAAACATCTGTCTTTAGAATTGCCCACTGTTCCATGGTGCTGGTCCTGTAGCAAGAAATTTCTGAATGTGTGTACTGATTACTTTCTTCAGAGACGACGGTGCAGTGGTTCTGCAAGGAAGCATAGGCAGTCTTCTTCTTTTATACTTTTGTATTTTTGTACTCTCTATCTAATCAAAATTATGGATTTAGACCCAAATTTCAGGATTTTTCAGGTCTGGAAGTGTTGCACTTATGTGCTAAGGCATATTTTGTGGCAGTATGTGAGCATAAGTTTGAAGAAGTGGCTTTGGTAGTGCAGCCAGGAGGAAGGCATGGCAGCCACCAGAGAGCCAGTTGTGCTGCAGTTTCAGTATGTTGAAAGGATTTTAACTCCCCCAGAAGCAGGGAGGACAACCATATGTTAACCTGTCTCAGACTCCGTGGGATCCCACAAAATCAGTGGTCTGCTTAGAGACTGAAGTCAAGGAGGATCCTAGCCACTGTGCTAAGGTAGCCACCAAGGCTAGGAAACAGCCCCAGGGACAGGTCTTGACTACGTACAAGAACACTCAATTTTCCATCCCCTAGCCCACAAGGGGCCACGGCAGAGGACATGAATTTTTCTCTGCCCTTCCTAGCCTTTGCCATGAAGAATATTTTCCTGGACAGTCTTACTTGAAAGCAGGCGTGTACTGAAGGAGACAACCCAAAGTGGAAAATAACCCAGGATTTCAAACTCTCCTCATCATTTTGACTTCTGTGGCCATTTGTCTGTGGAAGGAGTGCATGAGCTTGACGCTTTTCAGATATGCAAGAAGTTCCCTAGTCCAAGGTGTTCAGAGTGAAAAGACACAGTGAGAGGGCAGGCAGAGCTCTGACATAAAGAACAACAAAAGGACTGGTCTGTGCCAGTCAGCATGATGCACTGCAGGCTGCTTCACACCAGGCAATTTTTTAAAAGTACCTGAAAGTGGAAATGGCAGGTGAGTTCAGGAGTACAAACATGCTTGGGGGCCACAAGTTTTGAACATATCATCTATGCATTCCTGGGCCTTCACCCCATGCTGTTATTTTCACATGCTAAGGTGAATGAAAGTGGGTAGAGTCCTCTGCATCAGAGAGTTTTCTCTGAGTTCTTGTTTCTTCAGTGACTTCAGGTGTGTGGAGCCTCCAGAGTAATAGAAGAGCAGCCTTCATGTGCTCCTGTTGGTGCAGAGGTCAAGCTACTCTCTCTGGTCCTGTCCAGATTCACACTCAGCTGGCATTATCAAAGCTCGTGCGTTTAGGGGAAGTCATTCTCCACTAAGTAGCAGGAGGCTCTGTGAAGACACAGCAGAGGATTTAGCAAGTGTGAGAACAAAAGATTACATATGTTATCACCGTGCAAAATTAACTTTAAACTCATAGCCAGTTCCTGAAGACTAATCGATTCATCCATGGTTATGTAATAATTGCATTACCAGTATTCTTTTAATTCGTATATCAGCTACCTAGAATAGCTTTTACTACTTTAAAAATAGTAAGTTATTTGCCTTTTATATCTGGTTGTCAAGCACGTCTTGTCTCTGATCCAGGATTAATTCACACTAAGATATTCTTCACTCTGCAAATTATTTTATCCGCATCTTTGATCTGTTTGCTGTACTTGAGCAGCTCCCCATGTAGCTCTTCTTTAAGCAAGATCGGATTTAGGGTGTATATTTCAGTCATGATTCTGTGTCATGTCTGATGATTTCATCCAAATCCAAGGACAATTTTTAAAGTCTTAAGTGAAGATTGGAGGTACTCAGAGGTAAGATTATAAAAGGTTATGCTGTCAGTACAGAGAGCTGTCACGCTTGTTATTATGACAAAAAGTAAAAGCCAAAATTTTATCTTGCGTTTTACTTTTTTGCAATTGTAAACCTTCAACGGGTCATTTGAATAATATCTTCTTAAATCGTGCTGAATATATCTTGAGAAGTGAAGACAATAAGATTTCAAGGTGCTTAGCATGTTACAATAGGCATTCCACTTCATTAGAAATGTGTAGACATCCCTCCAAAAAATAAATGTCACTGGTTTTATCATGCATACTTTTTGTCTGCTCACAGTTTCCGTCACATTTAATCCTGCACTGAATTAATGAATATTGCTGGACACAATCACTGCCTTTCGTTCAAGAAACAGTTGCTCTGCATAAGAAAGAGTCAGGCTTTTTCATAAAACCAGGTAACTGAGACAACAGCAGCCCCTATCTAGAACACGTGTAAAGGGGTGTGTATGTAAAAGGGAGGCAGAGCAAGCACAGAATACATAGCATTTCCACCCAAACAGCTAAGTCAAAAAACATTCAGCTTAAATACTGCTGAACTGTTGTTTGAATTTTGCTGCCTAGGGAAATAAACAGATTTGTATTGAATGACCACAGCACTTAGAAAGAGGCTGTGCTGCAAACAATTGGCCAAAACCTTCAGTTGTTGCCACCTTTTAGCCAGGTCAGTTGATTGCTCTGAAAGCCGTGGGTTGGGTTTTAGTCTAGTATGATGTGGCTGTGTACCATAATAGCTCTCTAGGTCTTCAAAAAGCCTCCAACAAAAAGAAGAAAGTTGAGACCTTGGTATTTCTAGTAATTCCAAAATAAGCAGGAGACCATCTTTACTCGCTGTAGAGAAGCTTTAAAAGGCAGAAACATAATTCTGAGTACTTACCAAGTTAATTGCTGTGTCCTGATACTTAAGTGAGACTTTTTTTCTTCTCTCTTCTGTATTGTTTTCCAAAATATTTTGCACATCTTGGCCCTGTGAGGGGAAAATGTGCATTCACTTGAATGATGTGCATCTCTGCTCGGTACATTGAGCTGTACTATGGCTAATCAGAGGAGCCCAAAAATCAAGAATCAGATTCTGAAATCCTGAGTTTGACTTAAAAAAATAATTTAAATGCATAGTAAAATTAGGCTCCATTTATTTGCCTGCTGGTTTTTAGCCTTACAGTTGACATTCCAGTTATATTTTCAGGCTTCACTTGTAACCATAGGGGCTGAACAATTTCCTTTATAAAATTATAATTGAGATAGCCATATAGTCATTGCCTCCAAGTACCAGACCGCTATGCATAACAAGTTCTGAGATAAAAATCATGCAAGTTGACACCATACAGAATGATCTGATCCCTCACTTCTGTTCTTTATTATTTTCAACGTGAAGTAGTATTTGATAGGAAAGAAACTACCAGCTGCTGTTACAGAAATTTTGCTCAGATAGAGGAGATCTTATTAATAACTTCAAAAACAGGCTTTCTAAATGGAATCTCCTATATCCCAGTATCAAGACCTTACACCAGGCAACTATAAAAGTTATTGTCTCACTTACTTAAAATCTTGATGCAGGGAGCTGTAATGTTTTTATTTCTGTGTAAAACAGACTTTCTTCTGTGATTGTGCTTGTGTCCCTTATAACAGAAAAATTGGTGTAAGGGAAGAGAATAATTCTTGTTATTATTATTAATATATTATAAATTATATGCTATGTATATTAGCATTCGTTAAGAAAGTTCTGTAGTTTCAGTTCCAGCCCATTCTCATTCCTGACTTCCCATCTTTAACAGAGACAGAGGGAAAATCGATTTTGTAGCCCTGGATGGGGCCACATGGCCCCGGGGGTGGAGGATGGTCAGGAACTGTCCAGCTTAGACCATGGATCATAATGACCATCCTAAGGTAAGCAGAGGATCAACACAGGTGTATGACAGATCTTTCCCAAATCTTAGTAACTGCTTAAGGCAAATGGAATGCTGTCAGACTTCTGTGAAACTGTCATTGACAGAACATCACAGTCAGACATCTCCAAAAATTGCTCAGCACAAGTTGTATTTTTGAGATACAAACCATATTGTTTTGATCCTTGTCCCTGTGTATTCTGTATACATACAAGATCTCAGTGTAGGTTCATTTGCAAGCAAGCTAATGGAGATAGCAGATTTTGTTTTAAATTCTTTCAGCATCTTATTTATGTGTCTTCTGTTGTCATTCTGCTTTCCCCCAACTATAAACAGATGGGGAACTTTCCATACCAAATGAAGAAGGAGCTTTGGAGAATGGGCAGCCTCTGGGCTCTGGGCAAGTGCTGAGCTCCAGCCAGGTATCCCTGCCAGCCCTAGCAGAACTGGAGTCAGGTCCAGCATCTGGGGAACCCTGCACATACGAGGTGCTCCCAACCACAGAGATCATGGATGGGACAGGTAACATCTCGGTTACTTTATGATATAGATACTCTAAGTTGTTTTAAACATGTTTTTGATTTCTAACATTTGGTGTCTAGTCCTGAGAAATCCTTGTCAAAGACAAAGGTCTTCTGGTGGAGAAGGAAGTGACAGCATACAGACTGTCACTGGGTGCTCCATGAGAAATTTTGACTAGCCTGGCATAGAAGTAACGTCTACTCTACGCAAGTAACCTCTTTGTGAGTAAGGCAAAGTCCCTGCACTTTGTGAACGTTTAAGAGTAGATTTCTAACTCTCTGGCTATGTCTCAGCTGTGCCAACAAGCTCTAGAGCAGAGAGCTGACAACATTTTTGAAACCTAGGGTACAATGTCATGCCCTTTAGCTGCCACGTGGTGTTGGGTGATGTTCATGCCGTGCATCTTTCAGGAACCAACACAGCCAGCTGCCCTACCCCAGGTGAGGCTCTCTGCACTTCTTCCCAAGCCCGTGCAGAGAGACAGCCATGCTGTTCATCTAGGTTAGCTCCTCTTTCTGCGTCACTTAATGCTCAGAGTTGTGGGCGAAGGTCGAGTGAGGAAAAGCGACTGGTAGAAGTGTTCATCCGTGATCCTGCACAGCTATGCAGCCTCTTTGAAATGGAGTAGGACCTCTGAGGTGCTTTTACATTTATAGGATAAGTTTAGAGACCACCTGTTAACATATCTGGTCCTGAGCAAGCTGTGGTGACAGACCGTCTGAGATGTGACATTTTAAGGCTCTTGATTTGTGTTCAAGACGTGGGAATACGTCCCAGCCTGGCATAAGGGAGCTGGCTTCTGTCAGAGGTAATGGGAAATTTGGCTGTTGTGTAGATGTGTGTTACTCCTTCTCTTTCTCTTTTTTCCCTTCTTTCTTTCTCTCCTCCTTTCTATGTTCTATGATGTTTGAGTGAAATCTATTAGTCATTCTTAATCTGCATTGCTGCACTGCTTTTCTTGTCTTACTGCGGCTGTATCCGCTGCTGCTTTGCTCGTAACATTGTTGCGTCTATGATGTGGTTGTGTCCTCCAGTGTCTGAAGAGAGCCCCACATCCAATGAATCCGGCGTTCTCCTGTCCCAAGATCCTACAGCTAAGCCAGTCCTGCTACTTCCCCCCAAAAAATCTTCTGCTTTCCCCGGAGACCATGAGGACACCCCAGTGAAACAGTTGTCCCTCCTCAAACAGCCCCCTGCCCTGCCTCCTAAACCTATTGCCAGGATTGCCAGCCACTTAACTGGTAAGTAGGTGTTCCTGGACCCTCAGCACCACCATTGCCCTTAAAGGAAAAATCTGCCCTTACAGCAAGGTTCTCAGTGTCCTTCCTCCTTCTGTAACGCTGTTTGCATGTGTTGTTGTATGTACTGGTAATGTTTCTGTGTTGTACGTAGGGCAGGGGTCACAAAGCGTTTTCAGGCTATAACTTCATCAAAGTTGCTTCAGGGCACTTCCCCTCTCAGCTGTAATTACCTAAGACCGCTGCTGTGTTTCCTAACCCTCCTCACTCTTATTCATCAAGACTTACCATCACCACAAAAATTGCAGGATGTGCATTAATGGGAAAGGAAATATTAGGAAAATACTAGGATATCTTTAAATGCCTTTAATGAGAAAAGGGGTGAGACTTGAGGGGGAAGGGAGAGCTTTGCTTTCTCCTTTTGCCCTTTGTTGCTTCTCTCCTGAACTGCCATCTGGGCAGGTTCCCCTGCACACACCCTGTATCTTTCCATATGTTTGTCTTTTACTTGGCCCCCTGATCCTTACCCAGAACATTCTGTCCCATGGTTGCTACCCTTTTGCTTCCCTGCTCATACTGCCTGCCTGCTCCCCCTTTCCACCCCTGCTCTGACTACTCCCCTCCCACTGGTAAGTCCTGATGATGATGGGCAGCTCTCGTTCCCAGCGACCAGGATGTTGGTGTGCTGCAGTTTATGCTGCAGTTTATCTCTCACTGCATGGCAGCTAGCAACAGTAGACAATACAGGCTCCTTTTTTGTCTTCCAGATGTTTTCACAAGTGTCCAGGCTCTTTGGGATTCAAAGCTCTAGGTACATGTGGAAGGAGGATTGGTAGGTGTCCTCTCTCCAGTCTTTCATTTAGACTACTGAAACAAAGGATGGCTATAGGAAACCAAAAAAGGTTCCCTAAACGCTTACCTGCACCTTTTGAACAGTCTGCTTATAATTGCAGCTGCCACCCAGGAGGCAGCACCTCAAAGTCCTGAGTTCAAGACAAGGTGTCGTGCCTCTCTGTACCAGGGCAGCTACCAGTCTTCTCACTAGGTGGATCTTCTTGTGTTAATGCTGTCCTGATCTTTTCAGGGATGATGTGAGAAATGCTCAGCCCACATTAGTACATTCCAGATTTTTTTTTTTCCTGACAGTTAATACTGGTTTTATTCGGGTTAAGATATCGATCAGGAAAGAGCTCATTAGGAGAGAGCATGTTCTGGTTTTCTTTCGTATCTCTACATAGTCTATTCATGTTTCTGTTTTGATGACCACACATTTTTGTTCTGTATAGTTTTGTTCATTTTATGTCAAATCTCTTTACTTTCTTGCCTGCAGAAATCTGCACATAATGATTAATACTTTGCCTTATACTACAAATGTAATGGGCAGTTCTGCAGCCTGCAAAGTCAGACAGCAGTATTAATGGCTTCAGGTGAGGACAAAACCAGCTTCCTATGATCTGCCATAACAATCTGTCCCAATTACAAGAAGCTGCTCAGAAATGAGGCAAACATGGAAGAAATAAAAAAATAGGAATGACATAGAAAAAAGCTGAGGTACTAATTGTCCTTCATTTACAAGCCTTTCTTTAAGAGATAGCAGAAGAATCAAAGGATGAGGGCTTTTTTTCTGCAGCTGGAAATTTTGTGTGAAGTAGAATCAGGCTCAAGCCATCAGCATAAGTCAATTGCTTGATGATGACAACTTTCCAATAAAAGTGAAACAGAATTGTGACTTCTCTTGCTTTGTGGTGGCTTCTAGTGGTCCCTCATCCAGACCTAAATAAACTCTTGTATGTGCATATAGACAGGATCTTGTACATGCATATACAGAACCCTCAGGGAAAAGGAACAGATTCAGATTTAATCATAGGGCCCTAATTTAATTGACAGTTGTTCCTGGTGGAACTGAAAGCCTCATTTATACATACCTTATAAATAAAAGTATTAAACTTATTCTTAAGGGTCCATTTACTTTGGTGGTCTAAAGGATATACATGTTGTTCAGTGCCTTGTGTTCTCCACTGGTAATTATTTTAGCTGTGTATAATCTTTGAAAATGAGCAATCAATCCTAATGAAGCACCCTCATCAGTGAGAAGCAGAATTAATGCTGTTCTTTTACTAATTACTCCAGAGGCATCCTCAGCTTGTGTGTGAGAAATAAGTAAAATCTCAATTCTGGCATTTGAGGTGAAGACTTTTCTTTCTTGTTGCATACCCATTTTTCTACTGAAGACTTTGTGAGAAGGTTGAAGGACAAATTAATGCATACTGGGCATGGCTGATGGAGAGTGACAGTGGCTTAATGATCTGGTAGCTCTGTTCAAGAAGACTGTGAGGGCAGATGTGATCTTGCAAAGGGTTCAGGTACACATCTGAAAATGCAGAAGCACCTCAACTTCTGTCTTAACATTGGTGTATGTGTACATAGGTGTATCTATTTAATAGAAGCATGTTTTGTACAAATGTATGTTATAAAATCACTACAGGCATGGTCAGCAGCAGGAAAAAAAAAAGATAAATATTTTAAATACAAAGCTTGAGGGAAAAAAGTTTCCTTTGAGTCTGACCACCTTCTTGCTGTGAACTTATCCCAACGTTCTTCAATAAAAACATGAAGACTGACTTGCAGGGTTTGGCAAAGGCCTTAATACAGGTTTTAGAAATGGAAAAGAAACATTCCTCACCTCTGAAAGCATTTGTGAACCATCTCAAACATCTGTCTGCGTGTGCCAAGACAAAGATTGGCCTTTCCCTCGGTAAGAAATGCACATAAAAGGGCAGGCCTAAAATAAACATGTAAGAGCAAATTTAATTTTGAGGAGAATGAAAAGAAAAAAATCTTTTTTAAATGTGATGGGAAGAGAGAATTGCCTCTAGCAGATATAAATCACACAACCTTGGCATGCTTCTTCTCAAGGCTGAGGTACTGTGGGGACGGGGCAGTTCAGGAACAGGGACAGAGCCAAGAGCAGACTGCAGAGCAGCCACTGGGAGTGGTGCCACTGCTGCTGCAGAAGATGCTCTGCGCTTTGCCTCATGCTGTCTCCCATGCTTTTGATGACACTGCCTTCACGGGGAACGTCCCTATCAAAGCACTGGGTGTGTAAGTGCCCACGCAGCACTAGAAGACAGGCAACCCCAGGACAAAAACATAATCCTTAACTGTTTTGATACTGTTGTTTCACTGCTCTGCATTTGCTGTTGGCCAGCCACCTGCTGGTGAGCCTTCTACTGGTTTTCAGGTATGATTATTATTATTAGACAACATTCATGGGCAGAATTTCATTCATCATTTTAATTCTCCAATATCCACATGCAGAACCCAGGCATTTAGGACAACACTTGCAGCCCCCTTCATTGAAAATGTAGGAGTTGCTGGAATAATTACCTGGGACCAAATTTAATTGGAGTGCTGGAATAAAGTCCCCAGATTATCGTAAAGTCTTTAGTGGCCAAAAGTGACAAGAAGACTGGTCAGATCTGATGTGATAGACACATACCCCAGGGGGGTAAAGCTCCTTTTGATCTTGATTCATTAAGCTGTTACTTCTTACCAGCACAGATAATGTTTTCTGAAATTAATTATTTTCGTTCAAACAACTGAATTGCCAGTAACCCATAAAGTTCCCTAAAACATCAGAGAACAAAATATATGCCACTATGCTGGGATCTCAGCAACACCCGAGTGTATTTGAGCCCAAATTTAGCTTAATATTACAGTAGGGTATAGCCTTGGTTGTATCTGGCCACTTGGCTATTGTATTTAAGCTTTGAAAAACCTTTTGCATTCTCTTGCTTTCTTCATTCACTGTTTTGAGGAGAGGCATAGCATATTTTTAGTTCTGACGTTGTGCCTTCTAGTTATGTCTCTGTAGAGGAAGAACTAATTCAGAAATAAGAGGCAAACATTTAACAGGCTGGGAAATGTTACAGGTCCCCAAAAGTTACTTCTGATAATGCTGACAAGCCAAGGATCGGGTTTGAGAATGTGGATGCCTGGTGACCTGTTGCATTGCCACAACACAGCTGCTTGTTAGTTAGTGTTAAAAAAATATTTACAACTACAATTTATCCAATAAATATCCTCTGCAGTATTTATAACACAACAGTCACCTGTGTCTCATAAGACTCCTCTGTAGATGAGCCCAAGACATTATCCACAAGCTTCCTCCTCTGTGACGTTACTCCTGCTGCCTGATCTGGCAGGCTACATCCAGGAAGAAGGGTTACATTCTTGTGGGAGCAATGGACAATTCTCTTTTCAGTATATGCTTGAGGGAGAAGCAACAGAGCAAAAGCAGCTCTACCTCACCAGCACCCCCAGGTTCTCATGGGAAACTGGACCCTGATGAAGTTGCTCTTTCCATACTTCCTCTGCCTGCTGCTACCTGGAGGGGAGTACCTAGCACATAGAGGCATCAAGAAATCTTCTCATCTTTGAAACCCTCTTCAAGGCTCTGCACAGGAATTCATGCAGAGCTGTACTTTTTAACCTTTAGGCTAAGCATGCTTTGCTTGTGTTCTCGAAATTCAACTTGAACCTTGGGTGGATACGTAGTGCAGAAGAGCAAAGAATTTCTGTCTCAAATCTTCCCTGAAGACATGACTGCAGATCTGGCTGTAGTCAGCAGGAGATGCATGGCAAATCTTTGAGAACAGTTTTTAACTTGTCTTCATGAATCTGCTCAAAAACTCATTGAAATAAGAAAAGAGACTCCTGCTGGTCAGGCACAAGGGATTCCTGGAGACAAGACCTGAAAAAGTAAAAGCTACTTGTCCAAATGCTACCAGGCACATCACCTCATTTCCACTATGGAGCTCCCTCAACAGGCCACACTGGTTTTTGCACTAACTGTTTTTGCACATTACAGAATTAATTACTTGGATTGAATTTAAAGAGTAACTTGTTAATTTTATGACAAGTTGTATTACTTGTAGTTGTATATACTACAGCAAAGGTCACCATATAAGGTCATTCAGGTGGGAAGGAACCTCAGCAAGTCTTCAGTCCAACCTCCTGCTCAAAGCAGAGCCAGCTATGGGATCAGACCAGGTTGCTCAGGGCTTTGTCCAGCTGGGTTTTGAAAACCTCGAAGGATGCCAGCTGCACAACCTGTCTGGCCAAACCTGTTCCACCGTTTGGCTCTTCTCATGGGGGAAAATGTTGTCCTTATAGTCAGTCCAAAATCTTTTTTTGTCTCTTCTTCCTACCATGCACCACTGTGAAGAGCCTGGCTCCATGGTATTGATAAACCTCCTCATAGGTACTGGAGGGCTCCTGTTAGGTTCCCCTTCACAAGCTATCTTCTCCAAGCTGAACAAGCCCAGGTCCCTCAGCTTCTCCTCACAGGTCAGGTGCTGCAGCCCTCAACCATCGTGGTGGCCCTCTACTCAACTCATTCTAGGTTTTTTATGTCTTTCCTGGGGGGCCCAAAGCTTGATACAGTCCAAGGAGTGCTGAATAGAAGGGGAATAATCTTTTGATCTCCTTGCTGTGCTTCTGCTTGTACAACCCAGGAGGCTGTTGGCCTTCCTTGCTGTCAGAGTATCCATATGGAAGGCGTAAGGGCCTCTTTGTCGTAGTCTGATGTGCAGCAAATATTGTCACATCCACAACTATCTTTTAAGTAATTTATTGTCATCAGCACTGGGAAGGTTTCTATGTCTAACATCTCGTTCATCAATTCTGGCACAGTTATTATGAACCATGCACAGTGCTGAGTGGTCACAACCCTGCTGGGAACCAACTTCTTGCAAAATTGCTCGTTACTCTCTTGAGCATGAAGAACCTCAGCCAAAAGAGATTAATAAGACTTGCACACCTGGCTTCACACAGTTTGCTTCTCTTCTGTCACATGAGCGCTTTGTGCAATGATTTGGGACTCTGGTAATGTTCCACTGAGAAGACAGTTATCACAGATTATTTCTTCATATTTCCACTGTCCATCTTCTTATTCACCTACAGTTGTCCATGTCTGATGGATATTCCACGCTGGAGACAATAACTGTTTCCGCCCCTGGTTCATAAGTCATGTACATTGTGAAATTAAAACAAACAGGGGAAAGAATTATAAAACATGGTCATCTCACTCTTACACACAGGAACAAGTTGTTCTCTTGTTTACTGCAGTTTCCAACAGCATGCCTGGAGCCCTGTGGATTTGAGCAAGGCCACGTCTGTTCAGCACACTCACTGACCTGACCATGCAGTAAAACTTGCAGTACAAGGTCTCCATTACTGATGTCAATGAAGATTTACTGATACATTTCCAAGCGAATGGATCAAACTGTCCTCCCGTTGCAGTCATTCTCCTTTTCACCATTTTTTTTAAACAGAGTAGTAGAATTGTCCTGAAGGTGAAGGGCAGACAAGTACATTTAATGCCTCTGGTTCATTTTTCAAGGCTCTATTTAGGTATTAGGGCATATTCAGGCTCAAGAATGTGGGTGAAACACAGACAGTCTGAATAAAGCCTTACATTAGAAATAATGGACAAGGTTTTTGGCAGGTGTCCAGTGGAGTCACCCAGCACTGGTACCACTGAAAAAATGTAGATGTGAAGGATTTTGTTAAATCTAAGTGGAAACTAAAGATCCATACCTTTGTTGTGAAGAGTGGAAAATCAAAGTATGCACGTGTGATTCATGATGGAGTTTGTAGTTACTCAGGATAATTAAGCTAGACTTGTTCTCCTGTACAACTCCAGAGCTGCAGTGCCTCTGTCACAACTCTACTAGATGATATGTTTTAGAAGAAAGATGGAAGGATTCCCATTTGCTTTATACCTGAACCATCTGGCATGTTATACTCACTCCAAACATACAATATTGCTCTACACGATCACAAAAGGCAGCAAACCCAGTTGATACTTCCAGTTATTCTTTTGTCAGAAGCAAGAGAAACCTGCAGTTGGGATCTCTTTGAATTCACCATTAAGAATGACTCTCCCCTGCATCAGACACAGAGTGAAGGGCTATCCAGGCACAGGCAGTGTCAAATGAAGGCATAACTGAGACACAGCAGAAAAGAATCTAAAACCAACAGTCAAACCTGCACTTTTCAAAATGGAAGTGTGAATCTCAGTGTAGTCTGTGTAATTCAGGACCAGCTTTAGAAGCGAAATTGCTTGGAGCACAGATTTTTGAAAACACTTTGTTGCTACAAATCCCATAGGAGCCTTATTCTCAGGACTCTATACAATTTACTCTTTACTTTTTCTGTTACTTACCTTTTGTTGAATATGGTGTGTTCTTTTATGCAGGATACAAAGAGGAAGTATACACAGATAATGTGTAGGTAAGAAAAACATTAGTAACTTGGAGACCTTCCTGTCTCTATTCCTTGAATAGAAAATCCTGAAAGTATGGGGTTTTCTGCTGTACAGAAGGCAATCTGCTTTAGAGGAGAGGGCAATACCCTGTGGTTTGACAATCCCATGAGTTAGATTTCAGCCTTGGTGGAGCCATCAGAAGAATTTTTGCTTTCAAGAGACATGTCAAGCGGATATGATATTGCATTGGAAGCTGAAAGGCTTGAGTTCTACTGTCTGTAACTCTCCCACTCTGCAATGTGGAAAGACCACTTTCTCTCCATGCCTCTGTTTCATCTTTGCGCACCCTTTGCCTTTAGACTATAAGCCCTCTGAAGAAAGGGAAGACTTGCTGTCAGTGTGTTGTTCCTATGTAGTAAAATCACTAGTATCAAGTGGATACTGTGGATGCAATGAAGCTACAACTAGCAATAAAAAAGTCCAATGTCATATCTGAGCTTGGCTCCATGCATGGTCTTTTTCCATATTATTGTCCTTAATAGTTTTCAAGAAGTGTTAGTGCTTGGAAGTACTAATATCAACTTTGTGCACCCTGGCTAGTAGATAAGGATACTAATACAGGCAATACCCAGAATAGGCCAGGAGGGAGGAAGGAGTAAAAGGTGCAAGGAGAAGGATAGTTGTGCTAAAAAGAACCATCTGGAAAAGGACTTTAGAAATCTGATATTGCTCAGGAGTGTGAAGACCTTTGAAACCTGGAGGGCAACATCTTACTCCCAAGCTTTCTCAGTTCAAAAGAAGATTCTAGCCGTTCAGTGCCTTTACCATATTACAACAAGAAGAGTGAACTGAAGCAACAAGAGGACGAAGAGTCTGCAGCCCTTGCCTGCAAAGCTGCATTGCAGAGCCAAATGTCTGTGGTATCCCAGGCTCAAAAGGGCCTGGCCTTCCTCCTAAACACAAGCTCATAGTTGCAGCTCACAGCATGTATATTTGCTCTCATTTTTGCTTTTGTCATACATGGTGGCCATTTCCCACACTGATCTTGGGAACTGCAAGCCCTTTCATTAACTTCTTTTTCCCTCTAAAAATATTTCATGGTGCAACTCCAAAAATCTCCATCCTGCAGTTGAGTCCTGGCAGAGAGATTTGCTTGTGGACCTTTCACTGATTTCCCATGGAAGTCAGGGGAGTCTTTGCCTAGCAGGTCAACTGTGTCATTCAAGGAACATGCCTAGAGTTAAAAAGGTTAAAATTCAGTGCACAAGTCCAGAGAAAAGTGCCTGCCAAGTCTTCTGTTAAAGAATACGTTAATCCTAACAGTCTTCTGCCCTTTATCATTTTCTCCTCCTGTACCCTTTGGTTTTCCAGACCACTCCTGTTTAGTATTCAAACCCTATTTGTTTTCTCTTTTGCCCTGTAATGTAATTTTTAACACCAGATGTTTTGCACATCACAAAGCTGTAAGAAATATAACTCGTAGTAATTGCACTGCAGTGGCTGAGAAGGATCAGGAGTCCCTGAGCTTTTGCTCCAGCAGCGATGGTGGTGAGTCATCCTGTAACTTCAGACACCAAATTGCACTCCCCCCATTCGTGTGCCTGTTGAGCGGGAGACGTCATGCCTACCCCACAGGGCTGTTTTGGAGGATTAGGGCTTTAAAGCGTCAAAGTGTGCCACCAGCCTTGTTAAGCATTGCTTAAACGTGTTTATTAAGGGGCATGCACAGCCCTGGGATGTTTTCTGTGAGACTCGGAAGTGCTGCAAAACAGCAGTATTTTTCCTGAAGACAGTGGTGAGCACGCGCTATGCAGAGTTGTCTGTCACAGCAGGGAAGGGGTGCGCAGTCCCTTGTTGACTAGCAACCTCAGTACCTTCTCTCCCAGCCACATACTCTGATCTACATCTTACTGACATGTAAATTAACATCAGGGCCTGTCTGTCTTCTGTTTTAGATCCTGGTGCTCCTGTGAAACTGCCTTGTATGCCAGTTAAGCTGTCACCTCCACTACCTCCAAAGAAAGTCATGATTTGCATGCCTTTAGGGGGGCCAGACCTCTCTCACTCATCCTATTCCACACAGAAGAGTTCCCAGCAGCCTTTGACCCAGCACCATCACACTGTCCTGCCATCCCAGTTAGCAGCTCACCAGCACCAGCTCCAGTACGGCAGCCACAGCCAGCACCTGCCTTCTGGGTCCAGCACATTGCCCATTCACCCTTCAGGGTGCCGAATGATAGAGGAACTGAACAAAACACTAGCCATGACCATGCAAAGGCTAGAAAGGTAAGGGATCAACTTTTAAAATTACTTATTGATGTGCACTGTTTCCTGCTAACCTCATGTCTTGGTTTGAAAGACAGGTGTC